TTGGGAGTGAGAAGCATTGGAGGAACAAAGGTCTTCCATGGTCGGATAGGGCACGTCGTATTGCGCACGATGGATCTGGAGGGGGGTCCCGTAAGCCAAGCTGCACCTGCGTGGATGTGTCAGTGCGTGCAAGACAAATGTATAGATAAAGATGCTTAGTACCAACGGTCATGTATGATAACCAGCCACCAGATGCGAATCCGAAAACTTTTCTCCATTGGACGAATATTCCAATTGGAAGGGTCACGGTTTAAGCCTAGAGCATTGGACAGGGCGACTGCAGTCCCAACCATCCCCCCGTTGCCGAACATGGAGGTACTTGGTCTTCCGCACACATTCAGAATAATCGCCATGACCGTCGATATCCCGGGGGACAGGAATAGCTCTGAATGGAGAGCTTCGTTCGCTTGGTTCCAAATAAAGCGGATATCAGGATAGCGACCGGACCGCAAACTAGGCGAATTCTCCCAGTAGATCAGAGAGTTGGCATACAGATTGCACAGGAGAGCCGGCGAAATATTCTCTTTATGCGTGGAATAGACATGTCGAAAGGACATTTCATCGAATATAGGAAAGCATATGTTGGCATGGTGAAAGAACCTATATGTTACATTAAGCAATCAGCCGGTCCTGGACAATTGGGAGTCAAGTTGACTACTCACAGGTCCACAATATCATCGACCTCTGGCTCCAGGTATTTCTCGATGAACTCGCACTTGGTAGCGGGAAGTGACTGAGTCGCAGAAACTCCTAATGGCCGCCTGGGTACAGTGTTGAACAGTACTGGTCTCACAGGCCGTCTCGAGTTCGGATCTGTCCGAATTATCGACCTCCGCCGAGCATCTGGAACGGTAGAGAGATAGCTCTCAAGGACATCGTTATCTTCAGCAACTACAGGACTGACTATATGCGAGCTATTGTCGCCGACCTCGGTAACGATGCCCACCAGATTAGGAAACGCCTCTCGGGGAAAATGCTCATGAGAGGGAGGGCACGATTGTGTCTCTAGAACCACTGCAGGCCTGCTGATCGTTTGCGGGGCAAAATTTCTTGAGGGGCTAACTGCGTCTGCCGGATGAGTAAATGCCTGTTGGCTCTTCTTCGGTTGTGCTGCCGTTCTCGGTGCCTGTCGTGACTTGGGCGTCAACTTCCGCGGCGAAGCTACGGACCCTCGTTGGGAGTTATCTCCTGGCCGAGGATAGATACAATATGTACCATGAGCCCGGCACATGATACATTTCCCCGACGAGTCTGTTGTCCTGCAGCGGGACTTGCGCTTTTTGCAAGGTAGGCAGGCAGGATACAGGTGAGACCGATATGGCCTGGCTTCAGCGCTGTCTCCATCATGGCAAACACCGGAATCTCTCTCCATCTCGATTGAGTATGTACTTCTTTCCTTTTAGCACAGGGAGGAGACGATGGAAGGCATAACAATACAAGTGGGGAGAAGATATCTGTGGTTCCGCGGCAAACCCCGCGGCAAACTCCACCACTATTGGTGATAAGGTATACTCACAACATCCGCGGCCAACTCCAGAGTATACTGTAGAGCACCCCGCTGTGGTGCTCACAGTTGGTATATAACTGTGAAAATGGAACGTTCATATTCATATCAAGTTTCGCCTGTTGCTTATCTCAAACAGCTTCCAATACTTTGCTTTCTTTCGTTCTCCTTCCTTAGGTCCTAAGTCAGAATAGTATCAGCATACACCATGGCCTCCACAGATACAACCGCATTCTTTTCCAAGGCAGACAAATACCTAATGAGAACAGGTGTCCCCTACTCCCCGGTTATCATGCAAAAGGCTCAAGGCACCAGACTTTACGATGTCAACAACAGACAGATCCTCGACTTCACCTCCGGCCAAATGAGCTCTCTCCTGGGACATTCTCACCCGGAGATCGCCGAGGTAGTCCAAAAGTATGTCGCAGAGCTCGACCACCTCTTGAGCAACATGATTACCTACCCTGTTGTCGAGCTCGCTGAACGCCTAGCCCGTTTCCTTCCAGCGCCCCTAGAGAAGTCCTTCTTTCTAAACACGGGGTCTGAGTCCACAGAAGCAGCCATCAAGATCGCCAAATGCTATACTGGCAAATTTGAAATCGTCGCTTTCGCTGCAAGCTACCATGGATTAACTCAGGGGTCGGGCTCCGCGACCTACTCCGCCGGTCGTAAAAGCGGCGGCCCCTGCATGCCGGGCCAGCTTGCCTTTCCCGCGCCATACACTTATCGCTCGCCTTTCCGTAAGCCCGATGGGTCGTACGACTGGGAAGCAGAGATGGACTTTGGCTGGTCAATGATTGACCGTCAAAGTGTTGGCTCCCTGGCTGCGTTTATCATGGAGCCTATTCTCTCTACAGGCGGTATCCTCGAGCTTCCCCCGGGTTATCTGCAATGCATGAGTCTGGAATGCAAGAAACGCGGCATGCTGATCATTATGGATGAAGCTCAAACCGGTGTTGGTCGAACTGGACAGATGTTCGCTTTTGAGCAAGACGGAATTGTACCCGATATTCTTGCGTTGTCGAAAACACTTGGATGTGGTTTGCCTCTTGCATCGGTCAGTACAACCGCTGAAATCGAACGCGGGTGCACTGAAGCCGGCTTCCTATGGCTCACCACCCATCTCAACGACCCACTTACCGCTGCAGTGGGCAGTAAGGTCCTCGAGATCGTCGAGAGGGATAACATCTGCCAGCGAGCTGCGGAGCGTGGTGCGCAGTTGCGCGACGGTCTCCTTAAGCTGCAGGAAAAGTATTGGTGTATTGGTGATGTCCGTGGTCGGGGTCTCTTGCAGGGTATCGAGATTATCTCGGATGCTGAAACCAAGGCCCCTGGGCCAGACCTCGGACAGTTAGTTTCTGATCGGGCTATGGCGTGTGGTCTCTCATGCAATGTTGTGAATCTCCCAGGTATGGGGGGCGTGTTTCGTTTGGCTCCGCCTGTTACTGTTACCGCTGAGGAGATTGAAGAGGGTCTTAGGATCCTGGATGAGGCGTTTGGTTATGTTTTGAACGAGAAGAGGAACTAGGTTGTTCGGAATTCGAACATGTTTTATGTACTTGGTCAACATTTAGGTTGGGGTTTGTCATTTTATGATGGTTTTGTCTAATGTTTAGAAATTGTGGTACCAAGGCATATATGATTCTGCGGCGTCATTTATCGCATTCTCTTATTCAATCTGCCTTATAAACGATCGGTTTTTCTCTTCAGCTGATGGCTGCGAGGCCGTAAACTTGAGATCATGACGTCTTATATGATTCATGCAAGAATGAATGTCTTAAAGCGGGGGCGAGCCTTGGTCCAGATTTGTAAGAAGCCATGCTCTGTTGCTAGACACTTGCCAATACAGTCTTTTATTCCCATGTCTACCAGATTGACTAAGAAACCCAACAGGGATACTGTCACAGTCCATAGATCTCTATGCACTATCACACTGGCATAGTTCTTCACCTTTTGCTGAACTTCTTGTGTAATTATTTTTAGGGATTGAATGCCCAAGTTAAGTTTTATCTAGGCTGTTTTAAGTGTGCATGGAGCTTTACAGTGTTCTAGCCTAAATCACCTCAAACTTTGGATTGTGAGTGACTCTCTTAAATAAGTGAAAGATAAGTAAAGGATAAGTAAAAGCTAAGTAAGAACTTTTTTAAGTGAATATCAAGGCCATTGCTGTCACTCCTCCTGTCAGCTGATCAGCTCTCTTAGCCACCTGACACACAGCTATACAAAGGCCCTCTTTGTCTATCATATAGTTGAATCAACCATCTTCCTCCAACCCACAATCCCCATCCCCGTATCCTCTGGCAAAAGCGCAACCTACAAAGTTTCTAGTTATACGTTGGGCAGGCAGCAGACCTCTGTGAGCGAATTCGAACTCATAATGATGAAGGGCCTACAAGGGTCAGAAACAACTTTACCGCGAGCGTAGTGGGGGGGCCACTCCAGGTCCAGAATGTTGGGCCTGTCGATCGTGCACTCACCCTGGAGCAACTCATTTCGAAATGGTTTCAGACGATTCAACAATTCGTCAAGGGGCAACTCTCGACGCTCAACTAAGACAGTATTATTAAGGCCTTCTTTTCAAGCGTCGAGCCCAGGGCCAGCAAGCGCGGCAGAAAAAAAGACAGTCGATGAACATCATGAGATACTTGGACCCAACAAATACGACAGGAAAGGCGTCCCACGAGGGTGAAATGCGTGAAATACCATGCGGTTCCTCCAGATTTACAATCTCACAGTGGCTTGGACTATGGGCTCGAAATGTTTTCAAAATGAATGCTCTAGTTGATGTGCTGGAGGGATATTTCTTGGATGAGAGCCAAAATTTCCAACGACGTCGGCGTTCAATGAGGCTGGTTTCTTGTGATAGAAATGTCTAAGCACGCGAACATTGTAGGGGGAGACAAGATAGCATGTTCTGGTTTCGATCCAGGGACCTATTGTTTGTTGGGATATTGACTCTGATTAATTGGAGAAAGGCAAAACAAACCGTACCTCCGGGTTATGAGCTTATCTGTGATATGTTAATTCCCTTTGGGAGCAGATTCTTCGGTGTAATGGTTCCTATGTAGGTTATCAACACGTGTATACTATGCATTGTAAAACTCTACTGGCACAAGTGTCTTACCCTCGAGTCGCATACGCAAAGACAAACTGTTCAATGGGACTATTAATCTCATTGATTGTTATCATCATAATTATAATCACGGCAATTAACCAATGATAAATTAGATCTGAACCGTCTGATCTCCATGTACGTAGTTCCGACCTCAAGAGTCAAGCAATATGTCTGTGGTCACGTGATGCCGTTCTGCCCTTGTCCTCGAGCAACTTCATGCAGCAACCATGTTTATCAAAAAGCAGAATAACCAACAATTCCGGCTATAACCTAGCCAAATGTTGCTTTATATGTGTAGTATCAATCGTAAGCAATGTGAATATCAAAATAAACGTCCCTACAAGGTCTACAGACCTATATAAGCCAGCAAAAAGTGAAACCTAGCATGTCCTGGTTTCGATCCAGGGACCTATTGTTTGTTAGTCTGATATTGAAGAATTAGATAGCTGGGAATCATCTTACCTCCGGGTTATGAGCCCGGCGCTCTTCCCCTGAGCTAACATGCTCTGATTGGTGGAAATCCGGTACAAAATTTGATACTCAAGCCTGTGTGCCTATCCAGGTCTCGGAAGAGAGTCACGGGTAGAGCAGCGTAGAACCGGGTAGTAGGGCATATCTCCTAAGTCTGTATTTTAGGGCTTTGAATGCTTCATTCACTAGTAACAATGTGTTATCTATGGCCGAGGATGGGAAACTATTGGCAGCCATGCGACCCATGCATACACCGGCAGCCAGGTATTAGATAAATTGATTATAAGAGCTATATAGGTCGATTTTATGCGGTATATACTTGATATCACGGCACCGGCTCTGTTTATTTATTTTGGTTTTGGTCTGAATAGATGTGCCCGTATTATCTGGTTGGTTTCTACCTCTGCCTCCACATTCTACGACCGTAGACAGATGATAAAGCGGCCTGAGTGTATGGTTCGAAAGGCGCCTCGGCTAGACTGGGCAGATGGGGGAAAGAGCGAGACAAATCGAAAGGATCTACCTACTAAATAATCTGTAGGTAGCATCACCAAGGGAAACTAAGTTGCTTTGCTGCCTAGAAGATATACAAACGCAAATTTCTACAAGGAATTCGTCAATGATAATTTGCAAACAATACATCATACCTGAGATACTGTGGAAAACATACAGATGTGTCCATAATTTCTAACTGTGTACCTGAGTCCCGGGCACAGCGTTTGATAACAACCGTAATATTGGGTACGTTGATAATACTTCACTAGCGAACGGGACAGAAAGATATCAGATACATCATGTCCAGAGCGGTGGCAAACACCAGATATATTCTTCGTAGCTTCGAATATCGAGAAAGCCAAGCATCCATAGAGTAAGCTATAGAGAATAGACATCGACAGCTTTGGTGGCAACCCTGAGTCCATATTCTCCAGAAAGTATGTGTCTACTGAGTAATGAGTTTAAACTGACATGTAAACCCCATTTCGCCACAGATGGTCATGTCTCGATATTTTGTGTCACTGTACCAAAGATCAGCCAATCGAAGTAACGCATCCCACCAATCTCGCAAGAAACTACCCGATTCGTCCGGAATCACATCTATAAACATATTGCCAGATCAAGATACATCACTGATCTAGTTCCTAATATATTCCCTTTTTATTGGCTCCAACGGAATAATACTGAGACGGCACAGGGCTCCTTGCAGCCCGTGCGCAAATGAGATCAATATAAAGCCAGCGATGTGATATCACGTTTAACAATCGGATGACAAAAGCAACTGACGTAGGAGCGAGAGTCGAGACATGGAAACCCCACCATGCAGCAATGACAGCTACGTCTTAACAAGCAAATACCGAGCAGTGTGATCGTCGATCATGATACGTATACTACGTATGCCTGGGGCGTATCTGTCACAGCAACCAGCCTCATGATTTATATCAGAACAAACATATTACATAACGTCACATCTAAAACCATGGAAGTAACCGAGAGCAACAGCCATTCCGGGCAAGCTAATGCAAGGGCCTGATGTCAATGATAGCGAATGGAAGCCTGACAAATGGGCTCCAGGATATTTTCTCCGCATGGATGCTTGAGTTTGCAGCATAGCCCACGGTTGACATTTAAATTAAATTAATTGGTTCCGATTATGATACGGGACGATTACCTGTCTTGCTGCAGGGTATCTTGACGGTAACCCTTGCGCTGACTTAAAGGGGAGGGGAAGACGGTCAAGATCTCAATTAAGCCTCCGGGTAAATGTCCGATTTGACGGCTAGTAAATTATAATACAGGCCGGTAACGCCGTTGCCTTTTTGGCTGCCTGGGAATTGGAAAATTGATAGCTCTTGTCAATGACAGCTGTCAACGTATCCCTTGCGTACGACAATCCAAAGCGAAGGATTCACGATCTTCACCGACATGGGGATTCCAAATCGGGGTGAGATCCTGTCCCGACCACCGAGATTGTCCGCGACTATGATTTGAACTACGATCTGTTCTTCTCGTCAGGAGACCAGCAGAGAATTGGCGGCTCGGCAAAAAGGGGCGAATCGGCTACCGAGTCCTAGCGTTTGACACAAAAAAGAAACAAATGAGAGAAGAAGAAGAGAGGAAAGATCTCAAGCTAGCGATCTGGGTTTCTCACTAAGACACCCAAAGATCTCCAATGAAGTGGATCCCGAACCACTATGCAGACTCGGATCCTTTATTGCAATTCCAAATTCTAAATCTGCGAAAGAAACAAACAAAAAGACCAAAAACTCAAACAAAGGAAAAATCAAAACATCAAAAATAATCCAAGTCTTTAAAAAAAGAACTTCTACGTATCACCTTCTCCAGAGAGATAAAAAAAAAAGGCAAAAGAAAAAGAAAAAGCAAAACCCAACAAGAAAAACGGCCCACCGCTGCTCAGGTCCAGGACCCATAATCGATCCGATTCCGATAATCTCTCACCCGACGATCGCGGCTGAGACTTCCACCCAAAGAACGATAAGCGGCTGTCTCGGGCTTCCCCACTTGGCACCGATCCAAATTCTGTCGCCTTTTGGAAACGGGCTTAGACCAACTTTTAGTTTAACAATGGTCGCGCCCACCATTATTGGTCTAAAATAATTCCCACAAAGCGGTTCTCCATTTTAGGTGTGCCTGCGACAACGGGATTTGCCGGTGGAGTTGAAGGAGTGAATCAGGGGCCGTCATTCAAATCCCGTACGTGCATTTGCATACATTGCTGCATTCTACATTATTTATGTCCTTGCCTCGGTGTTATTTCGCCGGAACTCGGCCAATGGGAGAGCGAGAAGGATGTGGTATGATTATAATTCCGAATAGAGGCCTTGCTGATATCAATAACACGGAAAGTTAATGAGATAAAACAAGAAGATATAGTATCTATTATGGAGTTGACTGTTTATCAAGTATGGAACTGTCTGCAATAGTTTTAGGGTATGTCGAAGTTAAAAATTTGTTTTGTCCTATAGAATTTGACACACTACGTTTAACCATACATGTGACTCCTGCACTAGGGGAGACAGTTTATGCAGGCAGACCCAATCGAACCATTTCAAAACAAAAAATAGAAAAAATAAGAAAAGATCGATGTAACAAAAATGTTGGATTTTGATTTTAATCCCCTCGTGTTCGTGCCGCATTCCATGTCTCATTACGGACAACCCCGGTTTTTTTTATTTCTCAGGGGGGAGTCCGTGACCAAGTCCGTGTCCCATAATTAATATTATAGTTCTGATAATCGCAGGGATTATTTGCTGGGGCTTCCGATCATCCCGAAACTATGGGAAGTCTAAATTCGAGATCAACTTCAATAGTCTGGGATTGGTTCATTTCTGGAACCGTTGCATTCATTGTTGACAATTTTAATTTTGATTTAGATTTTTCATACGGGCATCATACATACATACCTGACGGAGTACGAGCTAATTTGTATTCCCAAGTACGGAGTACCGTCAAAAATATGCATCGATGTACGAACTAGGTTAAAGTCGCATGCAACAGAAGCATGAGATCAGTTCAGATAACCCTAATGAGAAGTAAGTGGTCCAGTCAGGGCCCGTGTAACAATTATCCTTGCAAATCTGATACGCAGGGCTTGAATAAACTATCCCATTATCTTTTTTCTCAGCTCCCGTGGCTCTCCGTCTCGTGTTTTCCACGACTTATGTACGGCACTAGTGGCTGCGGATGGGTTTAAAACGTAACGTTGTACACGGGACTAGTAGTTTCGAGGAACGGACCCAATTAGTTGGTTGTGTGTAGTACATGGACTCGGCTAGATTTTTATTCACGATGGGAGCTGGGAGGAAGATCTTTACGGTATGTATATGTATGTAAGTGTACGTATCTACCAACAGGTGTTCATCTAGACTGCAGAAGCTCGCATACAAAAATGCAAAAGCAAAATTTAGAACCGGACTAGTATTAGAAAAGAGACATGGACTGCCGGAGAATCATTACCCCAACAACCTCGCAGATTAGAGCCAAACTAGAACATGCGAACCAGAATCAGATCCAAAACCAAAGATGATCTACAACTCCCCGAGCACGGGTTTCTCCCCCTCCCCGAGAGCCCGATTCGAGATCGTCCCCGGCGCAAGGGATGGAAAACACTAAAAGTGTAAAGCGAAGCTGAATATTCAACAGCCGTATCCGCGTATCTGAGATCCGGTGGAGAAGACACGCACCAAGAACCGTGATCGGGACGTTCCCGTTGCTTCCACCGTGGGCCCTGCCAGCTGCAGCCACTTAGTAAGACATGGGACAGCCGGTATATGTATCTAAGCTATCAGACGCCAGAGATCTCGGAATCGGAGAACCGTCAGAGAAATCGAGATGCTGTATGATGACCTGAAGTGATTGCGAGAAAGTACCGGGCGGGTATACGGAGTACGGTAAACGCCATGCACGTACGCATGCATCATGTACGTGTTGCATGTACACAGCCACGATGAGTTCAGCTGAGGACGGTCAGGTAAGCGACGTCTCTGCATATACCCCACATTTTTTTTCTTCGTCTGCCAGTCAGAACTTGAATCGCTTCCTGAATGGGGTTATCAGAGTATCGAGATGCAGATCCATCTCGCCTGAAGGGGTAGGGCTTGAGAATGACCTCGAAATTAGTGTCTTTTTTTTTTTATTATTTTTTTTTTTGATATTATTGTTGTCACTATTATTTGATTTGGGTTGGTTTATTTTTACTCGTACCCTCCAAGTAAGGACTACGTGTCCTGTGCAGGATGGATGATCTCTCGGTGGTTGGCCGCTCGAGGGGTCAAATAATGGGACTGCGTCGGACTCAGTGGTAAGGGATGATCGTTGGAGTCATTATTCGGGGTGGTTTGGAGTACTTGGTATGTATCTCAGTATGCCAAGTAGTAGTAGGCAATGAGCCACGAAAATATGACAGGCCTGAAAGATAGCATAATTAATAGACGAAGAAAAGGTCCTAATTAGCCAGTCAGAATCTTCCAGGACCAAAGTCAACAAACGTCCCAAATTACCTCCCAAATGACGTCGACAT